CTGCCTGGGGGCTCAGCCACGCCCCCTCCCTTTGATCGACACCTCGGCCCCGCCCCTTCCCCCTTTTCTTAATGAACCCCCCCGTGGGAGTGGGCGCTGGCCACGCCCCCCACGCCCCCATTGGCTGCGCTCAGCCAATCAGCGCCCGCCCCTCCCCTCCCCCCCCGAACCGCTCCGTCCTGCGGGGGCTTCGCGCCGGCAGTGACATCGGGAGGGTGGCACTGGCATTGTGACACCGAGGGTGGCACCGGGGGGGTGGCAGCCATGGCAGGGGGGTGACAGCGGGGGTGACATCGGGAAGGTGGCACTGGCAGGGGGGTGACAGTGACACGGGCAGTGTGACACCGAGGGTGACACCGGGAGGGTGGCAGTGGTGGCAGGGGGTGACAATGAGGGTGACACGGGCAGTGTGACACCGAGTGTGACACCGAGGGTGGCACTGGGAGGGTGGCAGCCATGGCAGGGGGGTGACAGCGGCACTGGGAGCATGTGACAGCGAGTGTGACAATGAGGGTGGCACTGAGTGTGACAGCGAGTGTGGCACCGGGAGGGTGACAGTGACACGGGCAGTGTGACAGTGAGTGTGACACCTGGAGGGTGACAATGAGGGTGGCACCAGGAGTGTGACAGTGACACGGGCAGTGTGACACCGAGGGTGGCACCGGGAGGGTGGCACTGTGAGGGTGACAGTGACACCGGGAGTGTGACAGCGAGTGTGACACCGGGATTGTGACAATGAGGGTGGCACTGGTCATGTGACAGCAAGTGTGACACCGGGGGGGGGGGGGGGCAGGGCACCCACCAGGGGACACCCCACCAGGAGTGTGACACCACGAGTGTGACAATGAGGGTGGCACTGGTCATGTGACACCAGGAGTGTGACACCAGCAGTGTGACAATGAGGGTGGCACCGTCAGTGTGACAATGGCAGTGTGACAGTGGCAGTGTGACAATGGCAGTGCCACCAGCAGTGTGACACCACGAGTGTGACAATGAGGGTGGCACTGGTCATGTTACACCAGGAGTGTGACACCAGCAGTGTGACAATGAGGGTGGCACCGTCAGTGTGACAATGGCAGTGTGACAGTGGCAGTGTGACAGTGGCAGTGCCACCAGGAGTGTGACACCACGAGTGTGACAATGAGGGTGGCACTGGTCATGTGACACCAGGAGTGTGACACCAGCAGTGTGACAATGAGGGTGGCACCGTCAGTGTGACAATGGCAGTGTGACAGTGGCAGTGGTGACACCACGAGTGTGACAATGAGGGTGGCACTGGTCATGTGACACCAGCAGTGTGACAATGGCAGTGTGACAGTGGCAGTGTGATAGTGGCAGGGCCACCGGCAGTGTGACACCACGAGTGTGACAATGAGGGTGGCACTGGTCATGTGACACCAGCAGTGTGACAATGGCAGTGTGACAGTGGCAGTGTGACAGTGGCAGTGCCACCAGGAGTGTGACACCACGAGTGTGACAATGAGGGTGGCACTGGTCATGTGACACCAGCAGTGTGACAATGGCAGTGTGACAGTGGCAGTGTGACAGTGGCAGTGCCACCAGGAGTGTGACACCACGAGTGTGACAATGAGGGTGGCACTGGTCATGTGACACCAGCAGTGTGACAATGGCAGTGTGACAGTGGCAGTGTGATAGTGGCAGTGTGACAGTGGCAGTGCCACCAGGAGTGTGACACCACGAGTGTGACAATGAGGGTGGCACTGGTCATGTGACACCAGCAGTGTGACAATGGCAGTGTGACAGTGGCAGTGTGATAGTGGCAGTGTGACAGTGGCAGTGCCACCAGCAGTGTGACACCACGAGTGTGACAATGAGGGTGGCACTGGTCATGTGACACCAGCAGTGTGACAATGGCAGTGTGACAGTGGCAGTGTGACAGTGGCAGTGCCACCAGCAGTGTGACACCACGAGTGTGACAATGAGGGTGGCACTGGTCATGTGACACCAGCAGTGTGACAATGGCAGTGTGACAGTGGCAGTGTGATAGTGGCAGGGCCACCGGCAGTGTGACACCACGAGTGTGACAATGAGGGTGGCACTGGTCATGTGACACCAGCAGTGTGACAATGGCAGTGTGACAGTGGCAGTGTGATAGTGGCAGGGCCACCGGCAGTGTGACACCACGAGTGTGACAATGAGGGTGGCACTGGTCATGTGACACCAGCAGTGTGACAATGGCAGTGTGACAGTGGCAGTGTGACAGTGGCAGTGCCACCAGCAGTGTGACACCATGAGTGTGACAATGAGGGTGACACTGGGATTGTGACAGTGGCACCGGCAGGGTGACAGCGAGTGTGACAGTGACACTGGCAGGGTGACAATGACACCAGCAGTGTGACAGCCGTGCCGCGAGGGTGACAGCGAGTGTGACACCGGGCGTGTGACAGCAGGCCTGGGAGGGTGGCAGGGTGACACTGGCGTGGTGACAATGGGACTGTGGTGGTGGCGGGGCGGCGACACCCGGGGGGGGGCAGTGACACTGAGGGGGGGGCAGTGACATCGGGAGGGTGGCACTGGCATTGTGACACCGAGGGTGGCACCGGGGGGGTGGCAGCCATGGCAGGGGGGTGACAGCGGGGGTGACATCGGGAAGGTGGCACTGGCAGGGGGGTGACAGTGACACGGGCAGTGTGACACCGAGGGTGACACCGGGAGGGTGGCAGTGGTGGCAGGGGGTGACAATGAGGGTGACACGGGCAGTGTGACACCGAGTGTGACACCGAGGGTGGCACTGGGAGGGTGGCAGCCATGGCAGGGGGGTGACAGCGGCACTGGGAGCATGTGACAGCGAGTGTGACAATGAGGGTGGCACTGAGTGTGACAGCGAGTGTGGCACCGGGAGGGTGACAGTGACACGGGCAGTGTGACAGTGAGTGTGACACCTGGAGGGTGACAATGAGGGTGGCACCGGGAGGGTGGCACTGTGAGGGTGACAGTGACACCGGGAGGGTGACAATGAGGGTGGCACCAGGAGTGTGACAGTGACACGGGCAGTGTGACACCGAGGGTGGCACCGGGAGGGTGGCACTGTGAGGGTGACAGTGACACCGGGAGGGTGACAGCGAGTGTGACACCGGGATTGTGACAATGAGGGTGGCACTGGTCATGTGACAGCAAGTGTGACACCGGGGGGGGGGGGGGGCGGGGCCACC